ACTAAGAACTAAACAACCAAACACTGAGCACCCTAGTTTTCTTTTTATTGCTGTTATAAACATTTTGACAAATAGCAAATGTGAGGAGGAAAGGGTTTATTTGCATCACATTTCTATGTTACAGTCCATCATTGAAGGGAGTCATGGCAGGAACTGGAACAGTGACCACAGAGAAATTCTGCTTACCAGCTTGCTCCTTGTGCTTGTTCCATTTGCTTTCTTATACAACCCAAGATCACCTGCCCAGAGGTGGCACTGCCCACAGTAGGCTGAGTCTTCCCACAACAATCATTAAGACAATTCCCCACAGACATGCTTGCAGGACAATCTGATGGAGGCAATTCCTCAGCTAAGGTTCCTGTACAAGCATAAAAAAATGTAACATATCTTTACATAGTTAAAATAACAGTACACAACATTTCCCTCTCTTTGTCTAAATAAAAAGGAGGGGCTTTAATTTTGTAATAGTAAAACTGTATAAAACAAGAACAATTATCAAGAATTACATTTATAATATCTAGTACATTTGTATTTGGCAAGTTCAGAGAAAATACTCCATTATTTATCTTATCTTGCTGAGTCCAAAGTTTTGTACCTAATTTGCCTTCTATCATAACTAAAGAAAAAACGGTATTACTGTCTAGTCTTTAACTCTATTAAAGACCCCAGAAGGATATAATATTACCTAAGTAAATAGAAAGTGCAGTGCAAACTACTTCCAAAATGACAGACACATTTGGCTCTCTGGACAGTCGCCCAAGGTTCTGCTGCAACATTGGAGTATCCAATCTTTGGCCTACAGGCTTAGAATATATGGCAGACTTTTCAGTGAAGCAGGGATTTTTGAAGGATTTCCCACCTTGTTTTGGCAAAGTTTGGCAATCACTTTTCTTTGTGTCCAGTTTGGATGGTATATTATCAGCCATTAAGGCAAGGACAGTTTCTTGCCCAAATGGCTAATTTGGCCACATTGAAAGCAAATTCCATATGGAGGTTCTTTGACGCCCATTATCCTTTCTGAAGTAGATTGGTGCTGCCAGGAACAGACATGTCTCACTGTCAATAAAAAGCCCTATGTTAACAAAACATCTTAAGTGCCATACTCTGTAGGTCTTTGAAGTGTTTGAAGAGCATCTATCTATCTATCTATCTATCTATCTATCTATCTATCTATCTATCTATCTATAATATATATCTATTTAACTTTGAAAACATACCTAACATGACTATAAGTTCAATTATTAAATATGGCCAATTACTAATCTGCATTTCTTAGTTATACATTGTATTTTTAAATGAGCTTCACAGGTGCAATACCCCAAACAAGAGTAGAAACATACATACAGCATAATAAAAATAACTTTAAATTTGTATCAACATACAAAAATTTGCACCAATGGAAAATATTTGAGGTCAATAGTTATTTTTTTATCCTATATTCCCCCTAGATGAACCACCTTCACAATCAGAGAAAGAGCAATGAACACATGCCTTGTAGCACACAGCTCATTCCATTTTATACAGTCCACAGTCCCTACCCAGGGAACGGTCCCCTCCTCCACAATGGGTGGGTCCACTCATCTTTTTTTTTCCAGTTCTCAATGTTATTTATTCATTTAGCACTTTTTTTTTATTAGTTCAAATTAGTAATAGGCTTGCTTTACATATCAATCCCTTCTCCCTCTCCCTCTCCCCCCTCCCCCGCCAGCCCTCCACCCAATCCTCCCTCTGCTCCCTAGGGAGGGTAGGGCCCTCCATGTATACCCCCTTTCTTAAGCACATTTTTAAACACACTGTAACCTGTTTAGAGGTTTTCTCCATTTGGACCTGCTTTACTAAATACCTGCAACTGTGCACTTGCAGTGTCCTCTGATGTGTGAGCCAAACAGTTAAGTGATGACTAGGCCCTCCGCCAGTGGCTCTGGTGGCTGGCCCTGCCCCCTACTCGGGTCCATGGCAGAGGAGCTGTTATGCCCCATGGGCCTGGCCAAGAGCCATGTTTTTTAATGGTGAAAGGCATTCAGTCACCCCAGCTATGGGATGTCAGTGCCAGTACTTTGGCAGGCATTTTTACTTAGCTTGTTGTTTTTACTTGGTGTACCAACTTCAGCTTCTTTTCTTTTACTTCAGCTATCTCAGGCCCTATGTGGAAATCTGTGCCACATGTTGGAACATCAAATGTATGAGGCATTCTTTTGAGCCACCAGCCAGCTCCCAAATCATGACACACAGACTTATTAGTTATGGATTCTTTGCCTTAGTTTAGGCTCCTTTTTTGCTAGCTCTTATAAATTAACCTGTTTCTCTTCATCTATGTTTTGCCTCAGGGTTTTTTGTTTTGTTTTGTTTTTGTTTTTTTACCTTTCTTTCCTTCTGTATATTGTAGGCAGACTTTTCTCTCCCATTGGCCCACTCCCCAATAACTACAAAGAAGATTGATATCAATTATAAATGCTCAGCTGATAGCTTAGGCTTGTCTCCAGCCAGCTCTTACAGCTTAAATCAACCCATTTCTATCAATCTCTGTGTTGCCCTGAGGCTTGTTTGCCTCATCTATGAGCTCCACATGTTGCTTTTTTTTTGTATCTAGCTCGAAAATCTTCAGACTCCTCCCTTCCCAGCATTCTCTCTGCCCTGAAAATCCTGCTTAGCTATTGGCCAATCAGCTTTTTTTTTTACTAACAACGAAAGCAACACATCTTCACAGTGTACAGAAGGATTATTCCACAGCAGTATATCTTACTTTCACTGCTTATTTCTGTTTGTCTGTCAGCTGCCTAACTTCTGGCCCTGGGCATGTCCCTCTCTTTTTCCCTCATTCTCTCCTCCTTCTCTTGTTCTCCTCTCTTCTCCTACTTGTTTTGTCTTCCTGTCAGCCCCACCTATTCCTTCTGCCTAGCTAGTGCACATTCAGCTTTTTATTAGACCCATCAAGTGCCTCAGGCAGGCAAGGTGAAACAAATGCAACACAGCTTTACATAAAAACAAATGTACCAGAAACAAATGTAATACATCTTTACATTAATCAAGGTAGAAGAAACAAATATAACACACCTCCACATAGTGAAAGTAATATCCCACAGCCTAAACCAATGTAACCCATGTTTACAGAGGAAAAATAACATTCCACAACAGGTGCCCTCTTTCCAGATATGTCTAGGTTTGTGTGAAGTTGACAAAAACTAACCAGAACACAGGGAAAACAAACAACACAATTAAAAAAAAAAGTGAACATTGAACTAAGCAGAGTTTCAAAAGAAGAAATGTTAATGGCCGAAGGATATTTTTTAGAATGTTCAAAATCCTTAGGGAATCTTAAAGCAAATTAAACTACTTGGTGATTTCATTTTAGCACAGTCAGAATGGTTAAGATTAGGAATAATGAATAACAACAAATGGAACTGTGAAAATGGGGAATGTAGATACTTCCTCACTGATTCTTGGAGTACAAGCTGGTACAGCTGCTATTAAAATCAGTGGGGAAATTACTCAATATGCTAGAAATAGTTCTACCATATGATCCAGCTATACCAATCTTGGGTATATACTCAAAGGGCTCACATCGTGCTACAGAGATACTTGCTTGTCTGTGTTCATTGCTGCTCTATTCATAATTGTCATGAAATAGAAATAACCTAAATGTCCATCAACTGACGGATGTATGATGTAAATGTGAGAAGTTTACACAATGAAATGTTATCCAGCTGTTATGAAAAATGACATTGTCAGGTAAATGGGTGGATCTTGAAATCATTCTGAGTGAGGCAACCTAGACCTAGAAAGACAAACACTGCATGTTCTCTTTCATGTGTGGATGCTGGCTTTGTATCTTTAAATACGTGTTTAAATTTTAGTACCCACAGAAGTTAGTAAAATAGTAAGGGTCCATGGCATGGTATGTCAATGGAAGGGAGAAAAAATGCAGTTGATATAGAGAGGGAAATGGGGCATAGTGGAATAGGAAAGGTTAAATGGGATGGCGGGTAGGAGGGCAGGATAGAGGAGAAAGTATGGGGAGAGAGAAAACTAAAGACTTTTTTTAAAAAGCCATTTGGAACCCCATTACTTTATAATCTTCCTAAAATATACATGCATGCATATATAAAGAGTTTAAATTGAATTACCCTGTAATTGGGTGTGTGTGCAGGCAACAGTGCTTCTCTCAGACACCATAGGCAATCAAACAAAAACCATAGTGCCAGGTATGGTTACTTCTTTAATAGGTGTTGGTCAGTGGGGTACCAGAGATCCTTAACAATTATAGGTTATTGCCATCACTCATACTTGAATCATAGAATGTGGAGAAATCAAGTTTATATCAACCTAGATGTTTTATCCTTAGTGGCTATCTTTCATTGTATTGCAAGGTGATATGCACACTACTGGGAGGGTGGGGGAAGATAATCATTAATATTATCCAGCTATGAACTTTTGCAACACTGCCTGGCAAGGTGTGCCTACTGGTGTAATAGAGGCACAGATGCTATGGGAGTAACCAACCACTTTCTGCCTGTATTTAGAGACACAAGACAGAGCTATTAGCAATTGATGGCTTTTTGGAAATGGAGAGTAGCTTTTTGTTGTTTTGTGCAGGATGCAGCCTCTGATAGGCTACTCATGCTTCAGCAGATGGCCCTACACCTGTGCACATACTGGAAGCATTAAGTGCACTCAGTGTGTTTAAAAAAAGAAACATGAAATTAAGATGTATAGGGGATAGGGGAGGAACTGTTGTGAGCAAATAAGAGTTGAATTGATTAAAACACATTATATGCATATTTGAAATCCCCCACCACACACAAATTGCATTCTTGGAAGAAGCGACTGGACTTGAGTTTTTTTTTTTTAAAGATATTCTATAGGAGGTACAATACCAGGCATTTGGGTTTCCTTTTCTGTACCCCAAACTTCTCTTGAGTGTTGCAGAAATCAGGTCATTAGCTGTAAGAACTTCTTCATGATGACTTCACTGACACTTATTCTCCATTTTTGTTTTCTAGAGGTATGTTGTCCAGAACCAGACCCAAATAATGTTCAAGTCATTCGACATATAAGAAAGTATCCTGAGAATGACTGTACTTATTTCTATGATGACACAGTGTATTACGCATGCGAAGATAATCCAATCATTTCAGCTACTTGCAAATCAGATGGCACGTGGACTCCTAAAACACCATCATGTGATCAGAGTAAGAACTTACAGAACTATGTTTTGTGGGGGAGAGTTTATTTTCTTTATTTTTAAAATTTTATTTATTTTTATTTTATATGCATTGGTGTGTTGCCTACATGTATGTCTGTTTGAGGGTGTCATATCTTCTAGAACTGGAGTTACATACAATGTAAGCTGCCGTGTGAATGCTGGAAATTGAATCTGGGTCCTCTGGAAGAGCAGCCAGTGATCTTAACTACTGCCCCAGAATTTCTTTAAGTAATAGTGTGGATAAAAGAAGTTTTATCCGGGGAATTCTTGGTCCCCAGACTGATAGCTAGGAAACCAGCAAGGGACTGATCCAGACCCCAGGAACATGGGTGTCAGTGAGGAGACCTGGGAAGTCCATGGGGCCTCCTGTAGTAGATCAGTACTTATCCCTAGCATAGGTGTGGACTTTGGGAGCCCATTCCACATAGAGGGATACTCCCTGAGCCAAGATACACGGGGGTGGGCCTAGGCCCTATCCCAAAGGATATGACAGACTTTGAGGACCCCCTTATGGAAGGCATCACCCTCCTGGGGAGCAGAAAGGGTATGTGGTAGGTAGGGTTTTAGTTGGGGGGATGGTAGGGGAGGAGAGGAGGAAGAGGGAACTGAGATTGACGTGTAAAACAATCTTGTTTCTAATTCAAATAAAAAATAGATAAAAAAGGTGTTTTATCAAGAGTCCAATGCATGGTAGGTATAGTGTTAGAACAGTAGTCCCAAGCATAGATTATGCTGCCTCTAGAGTCTGGGAAGAACTGAGCTTGGTGCTCAGCCCTTTCCTTATAATATGATATGCAAGTGGCAATCATATGACTTTGGCTTCAGTGGATAGCCTAATAGTTACTGAACCTTGAAGGTGAAAAAGTTGTCGGTGTGGCAAGTCTTGGACTGTTCATATTCTGTACATTGGGGTTTCATCATGCTAGCCATTTCATGCTCATCACTAGAATTAACATGATACCATTAATATATTGGATCAATGCAATGTGCTATGGATGTTCAGATTGTCAAGATATTTTTAGGCTCTACTGCAATGGTTCTCAACCTTCCTAATGCTTCTTTGGCCACTTAATATAGTTTCTCATGTTGTGGTGACCCCAACCCCCCCATCATAAAACTATTTCTTTTGCTACTTCATAACTGTAATTTTGCTACTATTATGAATTGTAATATAAATATCTGATATGCAGATGGTATTAGGTAATCCCTGTGAAGAGAACTGCTGCTCTATAACAGAGATAGGAGAGTTATCACAGCTTGAGACCTAAGTCACTGTTCTATTGCTATGAAGAGATACCATGACCAAGGCAACTCTTATAAAACAAAAACAGTTAATTGAGGGCTTTCATTCAGAGGTTTATTCCATTATCATTATAATGGGAAGCATAGCAGAGCTCAGCTAGAAATGGTGTTGGAAAAATACAGTTGAGAGCTATATCCTAATCTACTGGCGAAGAGAGAGGCTCTGGGCCTGACATGGGCTTTTAAAATCTCAAAGCCCACCACTCTCAGTGACACACTTCCTCCAACAAGGCCATACCTCCTAATCCTTTTAAACGGTACCACTCTCTGGTGACTAATTATTCAAATCTATGAGCCTATGGGAGCCATTATCATTCAAACCACTACAGATGCCAATTTCCTATTCACTATACACATATATGACAAAAAATTAATAATATTACCCTTCTTCAATCAGTGCTACAGGCTTGAAAACTGATCTAGGCTTGAAACTGTAAACAGAAATGTGAAATTTAAACGTTATTTCTTGAGATTAGATTTTGCTTTTTATTTCATGCAGTCTTAGACTCGACCTCTTGCCTGGCCTCCAGAATATTAGAATTATAGAGATTGACTACTATGCTTGTCTTGAGATTCTAACTTTTAATGGGCCAAATGACATTAGTCCCTTCATAATTCAGCTGCAAATGTTTGTTATATAAATTGAGTGGCATCCTTATTGGCTGTTGATAGATTTTTATTTTTAAAGGCACTATCATCTATTAGTCTTAATTTCATGAGGGTTTCTTCTCAGATCTTTTGGTTCATCTTTAATACTGAATACACTTGTTTCCTATGGTAGAGGTGACCTGTAGCCTTTTCTGTAAAATATAATCACTTGGTTGAGCTTTTTAGTGTACGTAGTATATCCACTCTAACATACTTACTTCCCCGAGTCATTTTTAAGCCTCTTTCTACCATCTGCAATAGCAGCTACAGCATTTTGATTTTATGTATATAGAACAGTTTCTCATACTTGTGGTATACATTTTAGTACAATGCTCATGACTATTACAGAGTGCTATCACACTCATTTTACCAACTTTCTCCTCAGTGTTTGTGGATCTCTTCAGTTGCTCTTCTCCTTGTTTTGTTTATTATCATCATTGCTATTTTATTCTTCCTTTAAGTATTTTCTAAAACAAAGTACATAGTAAATACTTCTTCTTGGTGGAGATGGGTGAGCCGTTTGGCTGGACAGTAATGACTCAGAGATTATGGGTGCATTTGACATCTTTACCATGTTTTACAGATGCATTACAAAGGGAAGGAAATACAAATTTCCACAGTTCTCCAAAGTCTGTAGTAGAGTCACGCTACTGAAACAAAAGACCAGTTAGGAAGATTAAAAAAGAAAGCAGGTTAAGAGAATTTCCCAAAAGAAATGTCCAGAAAGTCCTCATTCAAAGCCATGACTTAGAACTCTGTCTCAAGTACTATTTTAACAAAGAGTTGTAAATTTTAGAGAGCTGACAGACAGGTCAGTGAGAGGCAGTATGGTCTTTCCAAGCTAGGATGGCTGTGTTAAAGTGCTAATGTCTTATCCCACAATCCTCTGACCCTGCTGGGTCTAGCTCTGAGTTGACAATCAGGCAGATAATATACATTTTCACTTTAGGCGTGGAAAGGGCAGGATGTGCGAGATTCATTTCTGTGAACCTCTGGATTGTATTGTCATCAGGAAAAAAGGAAAAGGCTGGCAGCTGTGTCTGCATTACCGGGGTCCTTAACCCAACTATCTTAAATATTTTAGGGAGAATATTTTGGCATCCTTTATACACCTTAGCATTGAATATCAAATTGACTGTATGCCACAGATAACATATATTTCTGGGACAGGATCCCCACTTCATGCAAAAATGGATCCCAAACAATGTAAATAAATTGTCAGTAAAAGGAAGGGAAACAGAAGGGCTTATATTGGCAGTTTTCTGTCAGTACCACAAATGCCTGAGGCAATCAACTTATGGAGAAAAGGTTCAGATTTACGTCTATTGACCCCCCCCTTGCTTTTGGACTTCTGTAAAGGGGTACATCATGGCATGAGTATAAGTTGGAGCAAAACTATTTGCCCAATCCTGAGGCAGAGAGAAAAGAGACAAGAGAGTTAAAGACACACAGTCTCCATAAAGAGAAAGCCCCTAGTGACCTAAGAACCTCCCATGAGGTCCCACCTTGTAAAGCTTCCAACACCTTGTAGGTAACTCAAGGAAATTCCACATTATACCAGTGGATAGCTGAGACTTCCAAATTCCTGAACCTGAGATGCCCAGGAAGGTCATTCAAATTCATGGCTTTGGTCCATTGATCTTATAGGCAGGGAAGAAAGAAGGATAGAATGAAGCATCTCAGATGCACAAATCCTGGGCGAAGTGCTGTTTGACACATTTGACATGTGTGTCTCATCCTCTCTCCTGTGTTTTATCATCAAGGTTGTAATTTTCCTCCAAACATTGCCCATGGACATTATATAAGATCTAGTCACTACTTCTCAACTGAGGCTACATATGAATGTGATGAAGGATACAGATTGGTTGGAGAGGCAAGCATCTCCTGCCGACTTTCAAAATGGACACCAGCACCTCCACAGTGTAAAGGTAACTTCTTCCCCCTCCCTCTCACCCCAATACCACATGGGTAGAATTGCTGTCGGGAATGGAGGGCAAAGTTATTCCCTGAAAGATGAAGGAAAAACATTTGATTATTTTCTTCTTGTAATTATATGATTTTCTTTTCTATTTTTTTTTGTTTTCAATACATTTCAACCTCAGTTTTTCCTTCCTCCATCTCTCCCATTCTCTCAACCTACCTCCCCTCTCCCCCAGATCCATTCTTCCTCCATTTTCTTTCAGAAATGAGCAGGCCTCCCAGGAATATCCACTGAACTTGGCATAACAAGATTGGATAAAACTAGGCATAAACCCTCATATCAAGGTTGGGTGACACAACTCAGTAAGAGGAAAAGGGTCTCAAGATCAGACAGAAGAAATGGAGAGACACTCACACTTCCACTGTTAGGAGCCCTACAAAAACATCAAGTTAACAACTAGAACATATATTTAGAGTACCTCGCACAGAGCCATGCAGGCTCCATGATTACTGCTTCAGCCTTTGAGCACCTATGAGCCCTACTTAGTAGATTCTGTGGTCCATGTTCTCCTGGTATCCCTGACCCCTCTGGCTCTTACCTTTCTTCCTCCCCCTCTTCCATAGTGTTCCCAGAGCTACAAAGAGGGAACCTTAAGAAGGTCTTCAATTTGGGCTCTCTGCCTAATGTTTGACTGTGGGTTTCTGCATCTTCTCCCATCAGCTGCCTGCAAGAACCTCTTTGATGACTATTGGGCCAGGCACAAATCTGTGTGCATATAAGGATATTGTTAGGAATCATTTTCTTGATTTTTCTATCATGTTGGGCATGGGCCCCCTCATGTGGTGTGGGCCTTAAGTTAGAGAAGTCATTGGTTGGCCATTCCTAAAAGTTTTGTGCCTCCATTGCCCCAGTACACCTTGCATGAGAGATAGAGTATAGGTTGAAGGTTTTATGGCTGGGTTGGTATCTGCATCCCACCTCGGGAAGCCTTCCCTGGTTACAGAGGATGGCTTGTTCAGGCTCTGAATCTTCCATTACTAGGAATCTTCATTAGGGTCACTCTTGTAGAATCCTGAGTTTCTACTGGACTAGGTTTCCACATTGCCTGCCCCCCAAAATGCCCTCCAATTCCAGTTATCTCTCTCAGTGTTCTCTCCTTCACCTCCTGTCCCTGCTTGATATCTCCTTGTTCCCAGCACCACCTGCACACAAAATCTATTCTGTTTTCCTTCCCAGAGAGATTCATGCATCCCCCTTAGAGCCCTCCTTGTTTCTGAGCCTTTCTGGGCTGGTTGTTTCCGGTTTCTGGCTATTATGAATAAAGCTTCTATGAACATAGTTGAGCAAGTGTCCTTGTGGTAGGATGGAACATCCTTTAGGTAAATGCCCAGGATGGTATAGCCAGTAACTCCATGGCCTTGCCAGGTGGGGGTCTCCATCAGAGAATCACTCATCTGGTAAGTCAGCCTGTGAACACTAGTTATTACCGGCTGTATCTCTCATAGCTCCTGACAAGATTTATCAATTTTGTGGAGTATAGGTTTTAAAAGTATGACCTATGATTCTTTGAATTTCCTTGGTGTCTATTATTATGCCACCTTTTTGTTCTGATTTTGTTAATTTGGATATTCTGTCTCCTTCTTTTAGTTAGTTTGGATAAGGGTTTGTCTATCATGCTAATTTTCTCAAAGAAGCAACTCTGTTTCATTGATTCTTTGTATTGTTCTATTTGTTTCTATTTTATTCATTTCAGCCCTTGGTTTGATTATTTCCTGCCATCTACTCCTCTTGGATGCTTTTGCTTTTTTTTGTCCTAGAGTTTTCAGTGTACTGTTAAGTTGATAATGTGAGATCTCTCCAATTTCTTTATGCAGGTACTTAGTGCTATGAATTTTCCTTTTTTGGCACAGCTTTCATTGTGTCCTGTAAGTTTGAGTGTGTTGTATATTCATTTTTACTGAATTCTAGAAACTCTGATTTTTTTCTTTATTTCTGCCTTGACCCAGAATTCATTCAATAGAGAGCTGTTCAGTTTCCATGAGTTTGTAGACTTTCTGTTGTTTCTGTTGTTGAAATCCAGTTTAATCTGTGGTGGTCTGATATGATACAGGGGGTTATTTCAATTTTCTTCCATGTGATGAAATTGTTCTGTGACAGAGTATGTGGTCAGTTTTGGACAAAGTTCCATGAGGTACTGAGAAGAAGGTATATTCTTTTGTTTTGGGGTTAAATGTTATGTAGATATCTGTTAGGTCCATTTTGTTTATAACATGTTAGCTTCAGTATTTTTCTGGGTGATCTGTCTGTTGGTGAGAGTAGGGTCTTGAAGACTCCCATAATCAGTGTGTGAGGGTCACTGTGTGATTTAAGCTTTAGTAATGTTTCTTTTACAAATGTGAGTGCCCTTGCATTTAGGGCATAGACATCAAGGATTGAAATATCATCCTGGTGAAGTTTTCCTTTGATGAGTATGAATTATCCTTCCTTATTCTTCTTGATTAATTTTGGTTTGAGGTTTATCTTGTTAGATATTAGAATGGCTACACCAGCTTGTTTCTTGGATCCATTTGCTTGAAAAATCTTTTTCCAACTCTTTACTCTGAGGAAATGCAAGAGATGGGTAATTCCTCTTTACACATCCATTCTATTAGTCTGTGTCTTTTTATTGGGGAATTGAGCCCATTGATTTTGAGAGATATCAATGACCAATGATTGTTAAGTCCTTGGTTTTGTTGGGTGTATGTGTGTGTGTGTGTGTGTGTGTGTGTGTGTGTGTGTGTATGTGTGTTCCTCTTTTTTTTTTTTTTGGTTTTGCTGGTGTGAGATTATTTTCTGTGCTTTCTTGTGTGTAGTTATCCTCTTTGGATTGAAGTTTTCCTTCTAGCACCTTCTGTAGGGCTGGGTTTGTGGATAGATATTATTTAGATTTGACTTTATCATGGAATATCTTGTTTTCTCCATCTATGGTGATTGAAAGTTTTGCTGGGTGTAATAATAGGTGCTTGCATTTGTCTTCTGTTAGAGTCTGCAGGACATCTGTCCAGGTCCTTCTGGCTTTCAGAGTCTGCATTGAGAAGTTAAGTGTAATTCTACTAGGTCTGCCTTTCTATGTTACTTGCTATTTTTCTCTCTCAGATTTTAGTATTCTTTCTTTGCTCCAAATATTTAGTGTTTTATTATGTGGTGAGGAGACTTCCCTTTCTGGCCCATTCTATTTGGTGTTCTGTAAGCTTTTTGTACCTTTGAAGGCATCTCTTTCTTTTAGTTAGGAAAGTTTTCTTCTGTGATTTTGTTGAAAATATTTTCGGGGCCCTTGAGCTTCAATTCTTCTTCTTCTATTCCTATTATTCTTAGGCTTGGTCTTTTCATAGTGTCCCAGATTTTCTGGATGTTTTGTATCAGAAACTTTTTAGATTTAACATTTTCTTTGATCAATGTACCCGTTTCTTCTATTGTATATTCTATGACTGAGATTCTTTCTTCTATTTCTTATAGTCTTTTGGTGATGCTTGCTTTCATCTGTGGTCCCTGCTCATTTACCTAGATTCTTCATTTCCAGAATTCCCTCAGTTTGTATTTTCTTTATTGCTTCCATTCCATTTTCAGGTCTTGAACAGTTTTATTCATTTCCTTGAACTATTTGTTTTTTTCCTGGCTTTCTTTAAGGGATTTATTCATTTCCTCTTTGAAGACCTCAATCATCTTCATAAAATTGGTTTTAAGGTCTTTTCCCTGTGCTTAAGCTGTGTTGGAGTATTTAGGGCTTGCTCTAATATGATGCTGGTCTCTGGTCATGACATATTGCCTTGGCTGTTGTTGTTTTCTAACATCTAGGTATCTGTATTTGGGGTGATTGTAGGTCTAGGTGCCAAACTCTGAGTTAGTCCTTGTTGGATGGGTGTTTTGTTCCTTGATTTCTATTTCCTCTCTGCTCTTCTAGTAGGTGTGGCCTGTGGTTGAGCAGGGGGTCTCCTCTGGAGTTGGGGGCTGGACTTCTGGACATATGTTCTCTGGTAGAGTGGGGAGTCTCAGTCCTAGTTGGGGGATGGAACATGGCAACTAGGAAGGCTCAGGTCTGGGGGGTAGGGTGGCCAGACACCAAGAGGGTGAGAGAGTAGGGGAGTTTGGCTGGCAGGCAGCTTACCTAGACTTCTCCCTTCAGTCTGTATGGTCTCTGGTAGAGACGGGAGTCTCTACCCCAGTTGGAGGCTGTGGCAAGGCAGATAGGAGGGTTCTGGACTGGGGATAGGGTGGGGGAATGCTGGGATAGTGGGTGAGTTTGGAGGAGGGCAGTCTAACTAGACTTCTTGTGGTTGGCGTAGTCTCTGGTAGAGTCGATTTGTTTATTTTTAAATAACTCACATCAGCAGATGCTATTCCACACAAACCACACACAAAATGCACAGTCTGACTTCCTTCTACTTCTTTCTCACAATTACAAGCATCAACCTTCTTGAGACAGCTCATATTCTCAGTTTCTTATATATGTTTTTGAGAAATATTATAGAAGCAAAACATTTTATAATGACACCTGTGGGCCTGTAAAAAATTTTCAATCAAACTTGTTCTGGCATCAGTGTAGACTCTGTTGGGCTAATTTCAAACATGGGAGTGATAAGTTTTGCCATCAGAACTTCTGCCAAGCTCCCATCCACCATGATGTAGATGTAGCATATTGATAAAACACAGTGCCAATTAGTTACAGGGAGCAGGAGGAGTTAGGGTTAGGCCTTACTTTATGTTCATGTAATATTAGTATAGCTATGTTCATAGTAATTCATAATTTATTTGATGTAATTGTCCCCACTGCTCACAGAAGAACTCCACGATTAGATTCTTGAAGAACTATTTACAGTAAGAGTTAATGTGTCAAGAGAGAATCTGGGGTCATATACACTTTTTATTTTATTTTATTAGTTCTAGTTAGGGAACAAGCTTATTTCAAGTCCCTTCTCCCTCTCCCTCCCCTCACCCCCAACCCTCCTCCCCCATCTCCAGTCTACACCCCACCCCATCCACCCACCACTCCCCAGGCAGGGTAGGGCCCTCACCAGGGAAAAATACTAATCCACCACCAGAGGCTCCCTGGAGTGCAGAGGCCTCCTTATTGACATCCATGTTCAGGGGTCTGGATTAGTCTTGTACTGGCCTCCCCGACAGCATCTGGGGTCGATGTGCTCTCCCTTGTTCAGGTCAACTGTTCCTGTGGGTTTCTCCAACCTGGTACAGACCCCTTTGTTCTTCATTCCTCCCTCTCTTCAACTAAATTCCTGATTTCGGCTCAGTGTATATCTGTGGATGTCTGTCTCTGCTTCCATCAGCCACTGGGTGAGGGCTCTAGTTTCTGGTCAGTCGGTGGCGGAATGCGTCATATACACTTTTAAAAATATCCTGTCATGTTATTTAAACACATTATAGCCATGGAAACATTTCTTGCCTTCTCTGTGTTTGTGTTTTCTTCTCATAAAACAGGGAAACAATAGACTCACTTAGCAGGAGAATCATGAGACTCAAGTTAGTCACATTGTGTACATAGACTGTCATGCTCAACAAAAACACTCATCAATATTTTGCTAACAAAACAAATGGAAAGCAGAATAAGCTGCATGCAAGTTCAGTTCATTCTTTTTTTTTATTTGAGTTTTCTTCTTTTTTTAAATTTTGTTTTGGAGGCAAAAACAACCGAGTTTCTTCTTTCTTTCTTTCTTTCTTTCTTTCTTTCTTTCTTTCTTTCTTTCTTTCTTTCTTATGTATATAACATTCTGCTTCCATGTATATCTGCACATCATAAGAGGGTACTAGATCTCATAATGGATGGTTGTGAGCCACCATGTGGTTGCTGGGAATTGAACTCAGGACCTTTGGAAGATCAGTCGGTGCTCTTAACCTCTGAGCCATCTCTCCAGCCCCAGGTCATTCTTTTTACTACGGACTATTACATCTTTTCCCTCAGATCACAATTATCTAAAACATGTTTTCTTTATAGCTCTATGCCAGAAACCAGAGATAAGAAATGGAATGCTGTCTGCCAATAAAGATCAGTATATTGAATCTGAAAATGTCACCATCCAGTGTGACTCTGGCTTTGCCATGTTAGGTTCCCAAAGTATCACTTGTTTAGAGAATGGAACCTGGTACCCAGAGATGCCCAGATGTGTGCAGGTAAGTGACACAAATCACAAGTTCTGTGCCATCAAACACTAAAATGTTTTTTTTTTTTTCTCAGCCAATAGTGCCGACCTATGACTTACTTGTTGCAAATCATTTCTAAGTCATTCAGATAAAATGTTTTTCCCTCACAGTCATTTGGTAAGTCGGCAGAACACATTTTCCTGTTTTCATTGAGGACATGAAATACTGAATCCCATAAAGAGTGAAGTTCCATAGACCTAGGAGTACTGCCTCCTATTTTTCTACACCATGTAATGTAATGCTGCTCTATTTCTTGACGATCATCTGAAGCCACTCACTGCTGCCCAAACCTACATCTCTTTCAGGAGAAAGACTGTGAGCATGTGTTTGCAGGCAAGAGGTTCATGCAATGTCTGTCAAATTCAGCTGATGTGAAAATGGCACTGGAGGTTTACAAACTGTCTCTGGAGATTGAACTATTAGAGCTACAGATAGAAAAGGCAAAAGAAACTGTCCCGGAGTTATGACTGTAAGCTCTCTCAAGATGGATGTAGAAGAAGCACCTCACTGGTTTTCTAACTTCAGTGTCAAAACAGATCTCTTGCATTTAGTACCTATTGTCACTTTGACAGCAATGTTCATGCTAATAAATATCTGGTTAGACTAATTAGTTAATGAATAATGCTTAGAGTTTATGAAATAATTAGTCACATTGTGACACGTAAATTTGCTTTTCTGAATGCAACATGCACATTTCTTCAAATAAATATCAATTTTGTTCTTGCATCTATTGACCATTATATAAAATTAATACACTTATTTAAAAATATGAGGTACAAAATTCATTTTAGTGCATTTACACTATTGTGTCCCTGGACTGCCTCTAGCTCAGTCTCAGATGTGCACATCATCCAGGTCTTAAGAGTTCAGAGTAACTGTCAACATCTCCCATTCCCTGTACCCCCAACCAGCCCAGTCCAGGCTACCCACTGAAGGCTACCCAACCTCCTCCGAAGTGTGAATAGTGCCTCTTTCATTCAGGCCACATGCCAGCCATCACCCTCCATGAAGGGGACTCACATAGTCTCTCTGACCTCACTCCACCCTATGGATGGCTCAGAGAAGGAAGTTCCAAGGACTGATGATGACTGGAAGACCACATGGGCCATCTTCATATTCTCAAGTCTTCCATCCGCTTTGATCACCATTTTCCTTCATACTGAATGAACATAGTCAGAGCCACTTCCCTGACCCCGGAGGAGAAACCCCATTCCACTATTGTTTGCATCTGAGTTCTCTGGGGCACCACATATTTCCAGGCACCAACTCTTGTTCCCTCTAAGTCTTTCTCATTCTAGTCTCAGTCCTCCTGGAACTCTTGTGGGCAGCTTTAGTCTTTCCATTGACTTTCTCTAAACATGCTGCAAGGAGGCAGTGAAACACAGCACATTTTCACTGGGCCAGAGATGAGACAGATGTGCCTGAATTGCTTGCTGGAGCAGCACATGTGATGTGGAAAGCTCCTGTCTGCCATCATAAAAGTCATTGTCCAATGCTAAGAAGTGACCTGGCATTTCTTTATTGGATGACTGTTTTTGTTTTCCCCCAGATACAAACATGTGTGTGGTAGTTGATTTCCTTAGACGGTGGTTCTGGTAAGCACTGAGCAGGGATGGTGATGTGACAGGGAAAGCAAGAGAGCCAAAGGGGGACCATTATAGAGAGTGGCTCCCAGGGGGCTGGTCAGGCTGACAGCTCTCTGAGGACCTGTGGAATGTGACTCTGGGCTAGCCTCCTCCCGGTGAGGACCTGGGATGTACATCTATTTACTCACTCAAGCAGGGCTGACTCCCAGAGGCAGCAAAGCATACTGTAAGGGAGGGGACCACTCATGGAGGTGTTCGTAGTGAACTTCAGGGTAGGCCAAGGATGTAGGAGCAGAGTACAGAGGACCTTGTCTAGAGTCACTTATCAGCTGCATGCTGTAGTTCACCACTCTATCTTTGCAGCTGCCATCAGTTCTGTCAGGTCCCTAGGTTGTTACGCCTTCTATTGCTGCTGACACAATTCCCTCCCAGTCTTCAGAGTGAACCACCTCTGCCTACAAACTGGCATATGCTGATACCACTTGTTACATTCTCACAAATCAAACATTTGCTGAACCCACCTGAAGAAAGACTTAATTAAAATTTATTAATAATTCAACAAAGCGCTGGACGCATTTGATTCCCACTTGGTTCTGGGTGTGGGGGTGCATCATAGGTTCTGTTGGTGCCTCTGGTGTTCTTGGAATAGCAATCCCTTTCCTGATTTCACTGTTTAGATGCCTTATGTAGGACAATGCTCAACTCATCTGCACTACTTACAACAAATATGAACACAGAGAAGGAAAATGAGTATTAGGAAATTGGTTTTCAAAAATCCTGCTGGTAGAATTTAAAGACAACAAGGGCACATTAGACCATTTGCTCACTCGTCAATGAAGTGAGTGGGAGGCAGGTGATATTTTAAAGCAAAATATTCAATAAAATTTAGAAAAATGTTACTATTGACTTGTCAGGAGGCCTGCAGACATTAAAAATGGTTGAATCACAGGTTTCTGTTAGGATGCACAATTTTAAACAAAGGAAATCCAATCAGATATTATCTTTGCAGCCTCTAACAGGCCCTCTCTTTAGCTACTTTCAGTGTCTAGGGGAAAAGGGAGCACACTGACCAGGGCTTTGGGGCCAAATATTAGTAGATAATGGCAGGGTTTTTTTTCCCACACATCTGCTTTTGATAATTCTTTCTCTGCATTTTGCCATTAGTATTTGAGACTACAACTCCCTCCTCTTGGCACCAAATGTCACTGCAAATTATCTTCATTCATTAGATAATTTTTTTAAAAATATGAGATTTTTTAGTTTGTTAGGTGCTAGTTGAATAATAATATTTTAAAATTTTATTGTCACTTATTACTTGTGTTACATTTTATGACATTTATTTAATAGTCCAGAATAAATTATGATTATAATTAGTTTTCATAGTACATTTAAATTATTAATAAGTTCCTAAGGTATTGGGAAGCTAATTGACGTGTATAAATCCTTGCTGATTATTTGTAGCTTAATAAATATTAAGTGCTTTGAGAAGTGGAATTAAATAGGAAATAGTATTTTTTCCATGCCCCAAATTAATTCCATAGTTTTGTAAGTGGAATTAAAACTGCCCCCTCTAAAATGCCACTTCCACACACAGCCTCTTACTACTATCTTAGAATGGGCACCTGAACACACTTCTGCCTCCCCGCTACCAATGTGCTCACAGCATTATGAACCACCAGTCATAGTCCTTACAGAAATAAGTGAGGCCTTAGCTTCCTGGTCTTTTTACTTCCTCACCACCTTCACAGACACACATGTTCACTGCAGAGTTGTTTTCACATTACTGTAATTAGTCTTCCATTTAAAAATATGTTCTTTTATTTGAATGACTCAAAAATGATCTAAAATAGATACAGTATATCTAAAATAATAGATACTACTAATAGAATAAAGGTGGACAAAAGTATCTAATGTCTGTGAGATTTCCTTTTTTCTTTCCTTGCATTTTAAATGTAAACATGAAGTTTACATTTTAACTTTTGTAATTCAATAAATTATACACCAGAATACAAACACACCTATTTCTTGACTCAACAGATTAATATTTAAAAATAGCTTAAACTATACCTGCATTTAAAGAAATTATTCCTGCCTAGATCCATAAAAAAAATTCATTTTCTTACTCCCACGGGACTAGTTTTAGCTCTTATTACATTTCCTCTAGATTTAATATCCATATTTTCAGAAAACTTTTTCTCTTTTTGTTTAGTTTCTTCAAGCAAGGAAAAATGAGAACGACAATGATTATATGTTTCTTTTTGGCAGAAAAAAACATAGTTTTGAATGAAAATGTATTATTTGCTCCTAGTAAAATAGAAAAAATAAGTTAAACAAATTATGGACTATTTTATAAGAAGCAGGAAAAAAATATGGGGGCAACGTCAATAGCAAACAATCACAAGTCTAGCCTTCAGATAAATACATCCCAATCTGTGTGTACTGTTGACTTATTTAAAAATCTATGCTTCTGCAAGGAGTTGAGCAGCTACCAGTTTCCAAACACCCAGTTTGAAATAAAGGATTCCCAGAAGACAAAGGAAATTGAGTGGATAGCATCCTCCTGGCAGAAACTCAGTAACTGCAGCCCAAGAGAATGTGGGACTTTTAGAAGCTGCATCGGGTCAGGGGGAGCACACCTGGAATCTGTGTTTTTAATAAGCACAGGCATTTTGGTCTCATTTAAAGTGGCCGGCTCGTCGTCTGTTTGGTTGATGTAGGGAGATGAGCGTTCAGTTTAATGAACTGGGGACACATTATAGGGACAGTTTAACCCAGTGATTCTCAACCTTCCTAATGCTGTGACCCTTTAATGGAGTTGCTCATATTGTGGTGACCCCCAAATTATTTTCATTGCTATTTCATAATTGCAATTTTACTGATGTTATGAAATTTGGAAAACCTGGTTCTATATTCCTGGGCCATGATCACTAATATTTGGCTGCAGAATAAATGATCTCTTAATGCTTTTGAAGTAAGAGCTGTGCTTTTTTATTTTTTCTTCATCCAAAAGTGTTTATGGAGTGCTATCATAATCCTCTTGTGTATTCTCTATGATTTCTGTATTACTTATAATATATACGAGATGCAAATATTTTTTACATAGAAAATTCAAATTTACATAGAAAATTCTTTTTATATGGTATTGATTAGGGAATAATGTACAACAGCTTGAACATATTCAGTACAGATACAACCTCTACTTACACAATCTACTAGTCTACCATTATTGGCAGGCTGCCTTGTGGATACATCCATCCAGTACAACCACCCTCTCAGTTGCCTATCATGGGCAGGCAAGACAAAAATTAAACACTAGTATATTTTATCACATTTGAAGATTACCTTAGAGTAAGGAGTGTTTTAATCAGCAGTTAAGACTAATAACCGACTTATCTACTTGAACTCATCCCCACCTGACCAGCCAACCACTAACCATGGCACTGGAACTTCAGATTTTGAGCAGAACATTTGCCTGAAAGGAAAGAATGTTATGGCAATTCTGTTCCAGGGAGGGGCTAGGAATGTCCGTGACCAGAGATACTATATTCTTAGAGGGGGGGGAAAAACAAAAAAAAAACAACGAACCAAGGCAACGCTAGAGTCTTCCTCCTTCTTATTTAGATACCTGCAGGTCAGTCATTTACTAAATACTAAGACTACCTTGGGGGAAAAGGCTAGAGTTTCAGCACTTCAAGGAGTACAGAATTGGGGAAATAGTAACACCTAACAAGGAAATAAGTTGCATAGTAGCTTAGAAATGTATGGTACCATTTTTCTGAATACAAATGTGTTAGTTTGTTTGTCTAGTCTGTATGTGGGAGTAAGAATGACAATGGTATTGACTACCCATTGAAGTGAAAGGGCTGGAAAGAGGGACACGG